AAGGGGGGGGGGGGGTGTACTTCTAGAAAAATCGCGTGCCCGTATCCGAAAACCCTTACCCTATTTAAGACAAAACCATGTGATTTTCTCAACCCTATTTAGTCTATTTATGAACTGACCAAAAATTTGAAGGAAAAGAAGAGAAACCTATTTAAAACCTGACCTTTAAATCAATACCCCGTTTTACACCTGTCTTATAATTAGCTCCCTAATTGAGAGCGATGTTAACGTTTAAGGCATCGCAAAGGGCTTTTGTTGATGTTCTTATCGATAATGATGAAAAGAAGTAGCATCTTATAAAACGCATACCTAATTCAAGACTGGAGTGCAAAAACCATAACCTATTTGTTCTATTTGAGACCAAAATGGTCAAAATTGATACTCTATTTTATACGCCATATAAGTGAGTACCCCCTAGGGGGGAGGAGGTATAACGAGGCCTATGAAGAAGGCAAAAGAAGACTAAGGAAATGCAATGTGGGATTCTTTGGGTTCAGAGAAGGAGGCGGAGCTGGACTTTTTAAAGTTTTCGTGGGTATGGTAGAGATCTGCCCATAGAGGGTCTGGGGCGAGATTAACTGATAGCTGATGGTCAAATGTCAGCCGAGATTGACGTGTTTTGCTGATCACTAAGCTGTGAAACACCGCCCAAAATTTAGGACATTTAGGTATTCATGAGTCACGACTGCTGAGATTCCATCATTCCAGCGCTCCATACTAGAAAGCATAACGATATGAAACGCAAGACGAGTCTGAAGATCTTCTTAAAAGTCTAAAAAATAGAACGGAGCCGTAGCCCGACAAGTGACATTCCCACTCCGTCCTGCTGCGGTCATGGTAATTTTCTCATTTGAGAGGTTACCAAGCTTTACGTTCTTCGAACGGTTGTCTAGATCTTGGCGAACTTTTCGAGATCAAATGGAAGAGAAAGCATCCTGTAGAGTGTTATCTATTCAAAGTCACGTTGTATCAGGATATGTAGGAAACGACTCGGCGACATTTCCACTTCAGGTATTAACGGTAACTGAATATGTGTGATTAATTACAAATGTAATCTTACGTTACACTTGTACAGCGTTACAGTACACCATATGTATTGTGCTTAAAGAAAACAATAGCCACAATACACTTACATCAGGCAAACTGGTCATTATTAGAACAGCTTTTGATTTTACTGAAGTTGGTGACTTGTTTCCTTCGAAAGCGCATGTGAAAATATCCTACCCCCTAAAGAATTTCGAGACAAGTATTTCGGCTAAACTCCAGAATACCCGGCCACTTTAGCATCTCATTGAATAAGAATAGCAACTATTGTTATATACCTCGTTCTTCAAAGCACACCGGCACATGTAATTAAAGTGGCCGGGTATTCTGAATTTCTGACTTTAAAGGTGAAATTTGATTTCACTGGGTGTTACAACTGGATGTGTACTTGAAAATAAATAGACTGCAGTCTGTTTTTCTATCGAAATTCAGCAGGGGTTATGAGGCGAGACGCTTTAGCCTAAAGGGGAATGGGACCAGACATGGGTNTGGATGTGTACTTGAAAATAAATAGACTGCAGTCTGTTTTTCTATCGAAATTCAGCAGGGGTTATGAGGCGAGACGCTTTAGCCTAAAGGGGAATGGGACCAGACATGGGTGCGGCACACACAAGAAGAATTATTGTCTCACCTTCTTCCCTACTAGACCACGGGCATATCACCCTTTTGCATTAACGATCACTAAACACTCGTCTTAGTGACCCTTAGAGAAAAAACTGCCTGCCAGCAGTCTAGAAAGTAATAGAAAAACAAGACTTTCTCAAAATAGACAATACAGTCAAACCTCCTGTAAGGGACCACCCAAAATGTTCAAGCCTAGATGGTTGCTTATGGTTGCTGGTCACTTATTTGGGTCAAAATTTTACCTCATTAACATATGGTAACTGCAGAGACTTACCCAATGTTTGAAACATTTTATTCATGTGAAAAGTCAGTTTTGAGAAAATATTCAGTACTTGCCATTGAGAAATTTCCGTCTCTCATACTAGCAAGGAATGCAATAATGTTACAGCATTTTATTATCCAATTTCCGCCCTATTATCTGTCAAGCAGTGACTTATGGAAGGTTAAGAACAAAAGAAAATCAAAAGTCCAACTGGAGGAATGGTCCTAGGCAACAAATCCCCACCTCTTGCCTGGATCCCCCTTGTGGGATAACATTGATACTTGGTCTTAATCCCTTTCTTTAACACTTTCTCAAAAATGCACACCATCAGATGCTCATTGACTGACTAGTGATTATAGACATTATTTTGTTATTGGTTGTGTTAACATTATTAAGACAGCTGAGAAAAGCAATGCGTAAAATCAGCCAATCAGTGCTGGTGGAATCCCAGGGGGAACTCCCATATAAAAAGGACGGGGGTCCATGTGAGAAATTTTTGAAAGAGACCCCTAAGAGGTACCAAGATACTGTTTTGTGGACGTGGCTTGAAATTTTTTTCACCCCTAAGTGGTACCAAATCTAAAACAACACATTATATATCCTGTCACATTTTTTCAGCTCAATACCCTGAAAGGTACTGCAAAAGCTCCTGCTGTGGACCTTTTAAGGCTAAACGCCCTAAGAGGTACTAAAACCTTTTTTTTTTAACTCTTTAAAGGTAGGACAAGTACCCCTGTCCTTTTTCCATGGGAGTCCCTCCCAGGGTGCAATGTTCTATCCTGTGAGATATTTATGAACACTGACACTCGGTACATGGCTTGGTGGAGGAATAATGGTTTTTCTGAAACTCACAAAGTGTTTGGATCAAGAGAGGTCTCCTTGGAAAGCATTTTAAAATAATTTTGTGGAGATAATTTAGCTAATTGGAGTGATGTTTACAGTGTAGATTAACTAGGCGAAATGGAGCACGATTAACGCTAACGTCGCAAACCATAGAGCTATTACATCATTTTATTTTAAACATGCCCATGGGAGTTAAATACTCTTGGTCGCTTGTAAAAATGCTGCAGAAACATGAATTAACTCTGACAGCATAGGATACTTGTGCGACACAGACTTCCCTATGCCCCAACACTAAAACAAATTTGTGGTAATCACTTAGGGGAATTGTGGGCGGTGCGGTGGCCTCATGGTTGGTGCACTCAACTCTGGAGCAGGCGGCCCAGGTTCAAGCCCTGGCTGGGGACATTGTGTTGTGTTCTTGGGCAAGACACTTAACTCTCACAGTGCCTCTCTCCACCCAGGTGTATAAAATGGTACTGGCAAATTTAATGCTGGGGGTAACCCTGCGATGGACTAGCATCCCATCCAGGGGGGGAGTAGAAATACTCCTAGTCACTTCATTAATCATGCTACTAAAACCAGGATAAGCTCCAGCCTGATGAGCCACTTGGCTTGTATGCAGACTTTACCTTACTCAGGGGAATTGTTATTTTAATGTTAAGAGTGAGGAGACTTTCTTACTTATTGTTGTTATTTTCAGGTTCTTGGTTTCGATGTTGACACGATCAATTCAGTTCAACTCTCTAACCACACTGGTTTGTTTGACTAGACCTTTTTACTATTTTTTAAAGTTTGTATGATAATGGCAAGAAGAACAACCACAAAAGACCAACATTTATTAATATTTTGCAATTATTATTATTATTAGTACATCTGAGTGATCAACTGATGTGGCAAAACCTGTGACCATGTTGTTAATATAACTGCTGCTTCATTGTGCCTTTTTTTGCAAAATATTTTATTTGATTAGTGCAGTGATTGGTTAAGTACATGAGAATTTCTTAAGAGAGTCTTTGCCTTATACCGTCTCATAGTCTGAAACTTTTTTCCATAATCAGTTTTAACCAGCTAGGTCTTACAAGTTTTTGTAAAATTTATTCTTGCTGAAAATATAAACCATCGGTGTGCTATGATTTTTTGGGGTCTTCACTCATCTCCATGCATTCTTGACCAGGTTCATTATTTAATGTGGTCCCTGGTAACTTAGCGTCATACTTAACAAAAAATTGTGATCTTAGGAAAATTTGTTCTTATGCTGTAGTTTGTTGGTTTGTTTCTAGGATATGAACATGTTCAAGGTCAAGTTTTGGATGCTAAGGAACTCAAAGTCTTGTTTGAAGGACTCAGGCTGAACAATTTACACCATTTCTCTCACCTTCTGACAGGTAGAATTATAATATATCATAACATAATAAGTGCCAGCAAGTGTGTATTAGAACTTCCAGGAGTA